TTATTTTATTTTTTGTATAAAAAATAAGATAAAATGAAATAAACACACATATAGGCACACGAGTTTAAAAATTTTTTTACCTGTTATAAAAAGTAAATTTTTTACATTGTAATTTGAAACCGAAATTATTAAATTTTTTTTATATTTTTCATATTTTCTGTAATTTAAATTTATTTTTATATTTTTTATATTAATTTTCTAACGTATTTAAATTTATTTAATTTCATTAATGACTCATTTTGATGGAGGTATATTAATTAATAATGATAGAGATTAGAATGATCACAGAGATTATATCTTTTTTTTTTGTAATGTACATATATGTCAAATGTGATGTTATACATATTACATTTATATTATACTTTACAAGTTATCAATGTATTATAAAAATTAATTTTTTTGACATCTTTGTTATTATCTTTTTCTTTGTTTCCTTTGCTCAATTAATGGATACATCTCTGTGTTGTTTTCTACTTTATCAGTATAAATATCAGCGCAGTATAAATATCAGTGCTTGTATTCCCATTGTTAGAATAAGCATCTTTATATATCATATGTTCTTTTTGTATCATTATGTTTATACTTCCCATTGTTTCTCCAATTTTTCCAATTTTTCAGATTGACCAAAATGTCCTCTGTACAATTGGATCGTCCTCCAAAAATAGGCCAGAACAATAAGAAGGAAAATGAAAAGTCTAGAAAGGTCTCTAACCTTTCGCACAAGAAGCACAACAAGCATGATGACAATCGTTACTTCAAATTCAGCAATAGGAAACGACCTCAGAGCAGCTTTTGCAACAGTGGAAAGTTCTTTCCTCCCTATAAACGTAGAAAGAAGGAAGGTATCATCATTCCTCCTACAAAATTTTTGCTTGGAGGCAATATTTGTGATCCTTTAAATCTAAATAGCATGCAAGATGAAGAAATAAATCGAGCTATGAATGCAGTGACTCCAAAATCGAGTCCACTTCCTACTCCAAAACACAAGAAAGAAGTTATCGAGGTAATTATTCCTCCAAATATTTGTGATCCTTTGAATTTGACAAATTGCAATGATAATGAGGAGTACGAAAAGCAGCTCATTTCACCTATGAAAAAAAATTCAAAACGGAGAAATAGGAAAAGAAAAAGAGCCCTTTCTGGATCAGGAAAAGATACAGAAAAAATGGTAAGTTAATAAGTGAAATTTTTTATAAGTCGCGATAGATGAAATATTCATTTATATTTATTTGCATATAACAACGATTTTATTTATATCTATAAATATTTGTTGAAGATGGTAATTTTGTAAATTCAGTTAAAGATTTATAATTGACAATTTTATATTGTAATTTATATTATGAATTCTTAAACTATTTTTTAATGTTTTAATGTTAATGTAAAACTGCTATGACACACACACACACATACACACACACACAGCGCGCGTGCGCACGCACGCACGCACGCACGCATATATGCATGCATGCATGCATTCAACACGCACATGTGCACGCACGTGCATGCAATATAGAATATTTATATATATTATATATGTATTTCTGGGATATATGCAAAGATGGATCTCAATGAAACAAAGAAATTAGAAGAAACTGAAGGAAATAACACAGTGATGGAATCTTTAATGGAAAGACTTTCTGAAGAAAAAATTAGCTTAGATGAAGAGCAAAATGTACAAAGTGAAAATTATCTAAGAGAAAATAAGATAGAAAGTCCACAAAAGGATAAAAATAAATTACGATTAAAAGGTTTGGAGGAGCTAAAGGATAAAAGGTTGAGAAAAATTGATGCTAAGGATAAAATAGTAAGCCCAGTAATTCCACAACCTGGTGCATGGAAGCCAAGACCTCAACATAGACCAAGTCAAGATAAAAAAAAGAAGCAACACGCGGTGCCCAATTTTAGGCTCAAAGATGCTAGATATCAATATGGAAATTATAATAGATATTATGGATATAGAAATCCCCATCATGAAGTAGATCCCAGATTAAAAGTGTTTGCACAACGAAAGGAATTGTTCCTACGAAAAGACATTCTAGATATTGGATGTAATATTGGCCATATTACACTATCCGTTGCTAGAGATTTTGGTGCCAAGAGTGTTACAGGGATCGATATTGATAGAACTTTGATAAATATTGCCCGGAAGAATGTGAAGCATTATGTTAATTGTGTGCAAAGTCCTGTTAATAATGAGGATAATGATAAAAGAGATTCTTCGGATGCCAGCTTCTTTCCTATGTCGATGCCAATTAATTATGGGCCTGTAGATATCCCGGGATTTACAAAAAATAAACAACATAAAGGATTTCCATACAATGTCACTTTCGTACAGGTAATATATATAATTGTATGTTTCTATGTAACGTAATATATTTAGTTGCAGCAGATGTTACACATCTTTGTTACAATGTATCACAATTATATCACAATTATATCAAGTTGCTTCATTTCAGGGTAATTATGTTCTTGAAAACGATTCACTCCTATGCACGGAACAGACACAATTTGACACAATTTTATGTTTATCTATCACAAAATGGATTCATTTGAATTTTGGTGATGCTGGATTAAAACAAGCTTTCAAGCGCATTCACGCGCAATTACGTCCCGGTGGAGTTCTCGTATTGGAACCTCAGGGTTGGGCCAGTTATGCCAAGAAAAAGAATCTCACGGTAAGCAGCCGCATTTTGTACGGCTATTGAGATATTTTTAAGACAAGAGTTTTATAAGAATATGTAGATATTATATGTTATTATAATATATGCGTGCGTGCATGCGTGCATGCGCGTACATACATTATATGTATACGTCGCATGTGCGTTGCTTTTTTATTGTTTTTTTTATTTGTTTTTATTGTTTCTTAATTGATATTTGATTTCTATCACGTTTCGTTTTTATTTTTCAGGAACGGATTTATAGAAATTATCACAGTATTGAATTCCGACCGCATAATTTTACACAATATCTTTTAACTACCGTTGGCTTTTGCAAATGCGAAGTTATCTCTATACCACCCCATCCTTCCAAAGGATTTCAGCGACCTATACATCTTTTCACTAAGGCTGGTGGTCCCTCTTCTAGTACTATCGGACGACCAGATAATAATATAAACGATACCCTGCAAAATCGCCAAGAAAGAATGACAAGAAGAGATCAGGAAGAGATACGCGACATGGAAAGAATAAAGTACGAGCAGGACTTATTTCCGAAAGAAAATATCGATAGAGGTAATATGTCAGAGATTAGTCAACACAGTGGAGATTTGAATCAATATGAGCAGTTGGCTAATGTTTATGCGCCCAGTGCGACGCCAAGCTATGATACTCCGAGTCGTAATAGCGATAGTCAACCTTTGGATAGTCAGCCTTCGGATGCGTTACGGATAAAAGAAGAGAAAGAAGAAAATTCATAAGAAAGGAAAAAGAAAGAAGAGGAAAATAAAAAAATTAAGATATTGATAAATTAACAAAAAAAGAAGATGCAGGTAACTGAAGAAAAGAGAAGGAAAATAGAGGAAGCGAGAAGAAAGAGAAGAAAATTCAAGTATTAGTATATATGTAAAGAAGGGAAAGCCATATTTTCACACACGTACACACATGCGCGCGCGTATACATGTAGCATGAAAAATTTTAAGTAACCTTGAAATTATATGAATTTTTTCCTTTTGTAAAAAACTTTTTTTCAAATTTTGATTGTAAATTGATCTCTTGTTTTAGTCTAAATTTTCTTAATTTTTATGATAAAAATTTATTATTAAATTTATTATTAAATTACTAGTGAAGATAAGAAATACCAATAAGAAGTATATGATCAAAAAATAAATGATAAAAAGAAAAGAGTAACAGTTTGAATAAATAGCATACATTACCTTTAATAGTTGCAACTTTTCAAATATTTTTTTCATTTTTCTTTTCCCTTTTCTATTTTTTTGTTTTTTTATGGATATCAAAAACAGTTTAACTGATGCGAAGAGACATAATACGCGCCTGTAATATAAAAATTTTTATCCTTACACCTAATAGAAGCGAGGATCATACTTTTAGTTTTTGCGGTATCTGATCCTTATAACCAGATTTTAGCAAAATGAATTAATTAATCAATTAATTATCATTATTAATTATTATTAATGAATTGAAATGAATTATATAAGAAGGAAGAGAGGTTGCAGAGATTTTGGCGCAGTGATATCGATTAAAACTAGATTATAAAAGGTTGTAAATTTGTGTAATATTAGAATTAAATTAGATTAGATTACATTTAATTCGATTCTTATGATATCAAGTCTTTTTGTTGGTACTTTGCACTCTTTTTTATTATTTTCTTTCTCTTTCTCTCTCAAAAAT